CTCTTAAAGCCTTTTAATATAACCAAATCAATGTAGCAATTTGTAAAGGTTAATGTAAAATAAATTATTTTAGAATATAAAGAGATTTTCCCTCTAATATCTACTTGGTGTCTTGAGTAACTTAAAAATATTTAAGACCCTATGAGGTTCTTTGGTGAAGGGACAAAAAGTGCAGAATGTACCTAAGTGAGTTTTCTCCAGTTTAGTAAAAGACTATAAAACCAAGTCTTCAGCAAACCTAGAAATGACAACTATGATTTTATAAGTATGAGAACAAGAATCATGTTTCTTTAATGCTGGTTATACCTTCCAAAAAAACTTCCTTTTAAGATGAGCCAGTTCTGCCAAACCAACATATCATCTTGGAGCAATTAAAGGTTTTAGGGTTTCCCCCTCTAGAATCTTATTTCCAGTTGACAGATTTTGAAGGTTCCCCAAGGATACCCATTTGGTAGATGTCACACACTTTCTAATGTAGGGTTGCAAAAAGTAAATGATCACTTTGTTCGAACCTGGGGGCTCATAGTTGGCTTTGCTCTGTGAACCCCAGAGTTAGCATCTAAAGTGGCAGAAGACACTTAAAAGAAGGATTCTCCCCTTCATATGCTGCTCCACCATTTGCTAGATAGCTGTGTGGTCTTGGGCAAGTTACTTAAAATTCTAGTGCCTTCTATAAGATGGGAGTAACAACAGCATCCAACTCGTAAGTTGTGAAATAAGATAATCTAGGCAAAGCACATGGCAGAGTGCCTGGTCCATAATAAACATGCAATAAACGTTAGATTTTATTCATCCCAAATGTGGTGAAACTGAAGGTGATTTGTGTTGAACTCAATTCTTTCAGAAAACCTTCAGAGAATTTAGTATTCACATTGTAGTTCATAGCTTTATAATACTAGAGACTTCTAGGTTTTTTAGTTACTCAAAGCACAAAAGATTGTTTTTCTTTATAGGGATGTTAGAGGAAAAAGTCACTTTATATTCTGAAATAATTTATTTTACATTAACCTTTACAAGTGTGTTATATTGATTTGGTCACATTATAAGGCATTTAGAGAGAATAAAGAGTGCAGATGGACAGTTTTTGACACATACCCTCTGCAACGAGGAGACAGGCAAAAAACAGACTACAGGGCCTCTAAGACAGCAGGTAGAATAAAAAGGCATGGACTCATAAAAAAGGAGTTTGTGTCCTTTGTAGGGACATGGATGCAGCTGAAAACCATCATTCTCAGCAAACTATCGCAAGAACAGAAAACCAAACACCGCATGTTCTCACTCATAGGTGGGAACTGAACAGTGAGATCACTTGGACTCGGGAAGGGGAACATCACACACTGGGGCCTATCATGGGGAGGGGGGAGGGGGGAGGGATTGCATTGGGAGTTATACCTGATGTAAATGACGAGTTGATGGGTGCTGACGGGTTGATGGGTGCAGCACACCAACATGACACAAGTATACATATGTAACAAACCTGCACGTTATGCACATGTACCCTAGAACTTAAAGTATAATAATAATTAAAAAAAGGCATGGACTCTGAATTGGGAGCTGGAGGTGCCTGATCAACGGGAGGAAGTTGGTTTGGTGATTCCCAAACTGCATTCTCCAAAATTGTTAACTGTGGTAATAGGCATGCCCTACAGATAATGAAACACTGCCCAAACTTCTCCCCAGCCCAAAGCAGGGAACTCTGAGTACGCGATTCTCAATATACCGTTCCATCCCCATTCCCACCTGGCTATCTTCATATCGCCTCACCTGAATTGCCCACCATACTCAGTTGTAAGTGCCTGCTGACTCCTGCCTCCTGTGGTAGATTGTGGGTGGCAGAGGCTAGGCAGGGTGCTCTCCTGTCCAATGTTGCATCCCTACCCTAGCACAGTTACTGGACACATTTTCTGGTCACTCCATAACAATGTGTTGAGGGAAAGAATAGATAAGTAAATGAATGTTAATCACCACTTTAACTAGTAGACCCATCCCAGAGTCAGCTATCTCCTAACACCTGGCCCAGTGTGAAGGAGGTGCCAAGTACTCTTCAGGGAGCTTACTTCTCGGGCCCTCCCACCAGTGTCTTATGACAGCTACAGCTCCGTGGGAAGAACCCTGGGTATCTCGGAGGGGTTGGAAACTGCTGACCCGGGCATTTGGAAAACCCAGAAACAGCAGAGCTGGTGGTGGTACCCAGGGTCTGAAAAAAATATTCAGATGTCATTTTTTGGCTTATCTTCCTCTAAACCTTTTGCAACAAGTATTTCACTGATAAAATGGGAGGGAGGGAGGTAATATTTTACAGGTAAGTTGCTATGGACAGCATATCCAAAGTATATAATAAGCTTTCCATAAATATTTGCTCAATGGGGGTACAAACTGGGAGAATCCAGTCCTCACACCCTCATCGTCCTCCTTCAGGTATTTGGAAGGAGTACCTGAACCAGGTGGATGCAAATGGCACTTGCAGTCACTATCCTAAATATTAGTTTGAACCATATGAAATTGTCATTTTAGTAGGTCAAAAATGGTCAAATATCAGCAATTTCACACAGTTCAAAATGTTACAGGTTGAAATGTGCTGCCTCATCACTAGAAACAAGTCAAGGTTGAATTCTGCTGATAATAAAAAGTCCGAATGGTAAAGCAGGCCATTAGCAGCCTTTTGGGAGAACAAAGGACCAAAGCAAACATGAAGGATACACAATTGCCCTTTGTCAGTTTTTTGTAAAGTGCATTCTAAGCCATTCTATGAGGAAAAAAGAAAAGGACTCATTTGGGAAATGCTGCAAACCATATCCTTTTCCTAGAGTTTCAAAATGTGAATTAAAGGCTGGGCGCGGTGGCTCACACCTGTAATCCCAGCACTTTGGGAGGCCAAGGCGGTTGGATCACCTAAGGTCAGGAGTTCAAGGCCAACCTGGCCAACATGGTGAAACCTTGTCTCTACTAAAAAAGAAAAAAAAATTAGTTGGACGTGGTGGCACATGTCTGTAATCCCAGCTACTTGCGAGGCTGAGGCAGGAGAATCACTTGAACCTGGGAGGCAGAGGTTGCAGTGAGCCAAGATTGCGCCTTTGTACTCCAGTCTGGGTGACAGAGTGAGACTGTGTCTCAAAAAAAGAAAAAAAGAGTGTCACTGAGGAAGAGGCCAGTCCAAAAAGGAGATTCTCAAAGGGTCATTCTTATTAGAAGAGTCTGTTTTGCTGTCCAGGGAATCTATATTGTCATGTGTGGAGTTTTAAAATATATATTTCTCAGTATCAATCTATAAACTCTGTAGGCAGCATCAAGAAAAGGTATGGATAGGCCCCTATTTTAATCCAGCTCAATATACAAAAATTTATACTTATAAACCATACGTGTTAAGGTGGAATACATGGGATCTACTGGGTTCTGACCAGTCCATCAGTTTTAATTAATGAGTGAAGGACCTCTGAATTAGAGTCAGGATTCACATTACAGAATGATTCTTCATTTTCACAGATGTGATCACCACAAAGTTTCTTTAAATAATTACCCTTTTTTTGGTAATTAATATCTGATCCTATCTTCAAAAGTTAAATTTACACATCCATTTTAAGGAACCATCGAGTGTCCAGGGCCTGAATCTGCATTCATCCTCCTGCTGCATATGGCCTTCTTAGAATAGGGTTAAGTGAGCTTATTCTAAAACCAGCTTTTAATTCTGTGCTCTGTTGCCCAGGCTGGAGTGCAGTGGTGTAATCTCAGCTCACTGCAACCTCCCCCTCTGGGGTTCAAGCGATTCTCCTGCCTCGGCCTCCCGAGTAGCTAGGATTACAGGCGTGTGCCACCATGCCCGGCTAATTTTTGTATTTTTAGTAGGGATGGGGTTTCTCCATGTTGGTCAGGCTGGTCTCAAACTCCAGATCTCATGATCCGCCTGCCTCAGCCTCCCAAAGTGCTGAGATTACAGGCATGAGCCTCATTATCTTTTCTTAAAAAAAAAATTGGATGGGATATAAGAAGCCTAAAGGAAGGAAGTAGCTTGATTTTTAAGTTTGAGAAGTTGCAAAAAATGTTCTTTAAAAAGCAAAAAAGAGATTACATGTCTATCTTCTTCTTTAAAAAATTAATTTTCTTCAGAATATGATAATATAACAACAGTGATCATAACTAATGTAAGTAAAAAATAGAGTCCTTTTATTAGCACACTTTTATTTCCTTGAATCATTTAAAATCATACCCATATTATTGCCCTATAATATTTTATTTACTTTAATACAATTATGAAATTTTGTAAAGGGCTTGGTAAAGCAGTGTTTTCCAAACTTCAGGTCATGACCCATTGGTGAGTCTGGAAATTAATATAAATTTTATACAAATGAAGTAATAGAATGAAATAGAAATAACGGAATGCATCACACTTGGTAAGGGCAGATTTTGTTTTGTGAAATTTTGTTTTAGTTTTATATACATTTACACACATATACATGCATATACACATATATATTAACACATATTTATATGTGTATATAAATAACATATAAACATATACGTTTGAGTGTACTAACTCACTGTGGAATGCAGACAAAAAATTTAAGAAATCCTAAAAGAAAGAGTTTCAAAATAAAGGTAAAATGTAAAAAACCACATTACACAATAAATATGATTTTAAACTAAATAACCTTTGTTAAAACAATGCCTTCAGCTTTAACAAATTTACAAATTTGTTTAATAAAAGAGGCATGCAGGCAAAATGTACTCCCATATGTGTGTATGTACATGCATACAGACATCTACCCATGAATAGAATTTTTAAACCCTTCAACTATATTTAAAACCTTTAAAATGTAATTCAAAATAGAACTTCTGATTCCATGAATAGCATTTGTTAATAATATAAAGTAAAAGGTGCAATTATGCTGATATTTTCACAGTGTTCATTCATCTACTCTAAGCTAAAGACCAACATGAAAAAAAAAATTTCTGGGAGTTGCTTTTTTATTTTAAAGTTTATAACCTATTTATATAGTACCTACCCTCTCATTAACCAGGGATGATAGTAGATAGTCTGTGTGATGCACGGAATCCAGAAGGAAATTCTGAAACTGCCTTTAATGGTTGCGAAGAGACAATCCTACCCTTCATTTTAATGATTTCTTCCTCCATTTCTCTCTGATCTGAACCAGTCTTGCCTAACATTATAATACTGCTTTTCCCATTCTTCATCATGAACTATAAAGGCTTCTTGCAAGCTCTCAAGGCTAAACACATTCCAGACATTCCTTTACACAACGTTCCTGAAAAGGTTGGTTTCTTAGGATCCTGCAGCAACACTGCCTGCATGGTTCACAGAGACCAGACCGCTGCACAGGGCTTTTACTGGCAGACAGCCAAAGGTGCTGCCTCTCCTCTCCTTTGGAAGACTTGCTTTACTCACCCAGAGTCCATCAAACTCACTTTTCAAGGGGTAGATGAGGACAGCAGGATCCTCTGTAAAGAAGAATCACATAGCGAGGCAGAGTTTCCAGCAGCACAGTGAAGCTACACATAGGTTGTATATCTTGGTATGATGTGTATTTGCTTTGGAAAGAGGCATTTAAACAAAGTTTTCCTTAGCAAAGTCTTGCCTCCCCCACCACCAATCCAGGAGTCTCAAAATTACTTTTAATGAATTCAAGAAATAGAAATTCTACACTGGAACACTTATTAGCTGCCTTTCTTATATAAATAATTACAGGACACAACATTTTCTTCCTTTTTCCTATTAACATTTCCGATTCTGCCTCTCTTTTCTCCGTCCCTCCTTCTCTTCTCACTTTGTGTCACATACACTTCATTTGAAATTCTCTAATTCTCTTTTTAGACCAGGGAAAATCGGTATCAAACATTCCAGGGCCAAAGGTTTTCAAGAAAGACAAGACAAAAACCACAGAACTTCTTTCACATATGACTGAATCCCTTCACACTCTTTCTGGCCTATGGGATACTTGTTGCTAACTGAGAGGTTTAATTTGTCTAGAATTCTCTTTACCCCCGCTTCTTCCCAACTCAGCCGCTCCTCTTGGTATCCACATTCCTTGATAAATACAGTCAAACTCAGTGTCTTTCTCAGAAACACAAAACCCTAGTGCAGGGCCTCACAATTCTCACTCCATGAAATATGAGTTCCTAGTCAAGTGTTAAAGGCTGTGATCACACACCTAGATCTGGGCGCTCTGACCAGTGGAGTTTGTCATAAGGCCCTATTCTTTCTCAGTGATCCATGAGACACTGAACAAATTAGAGGTGCTCTATATTCAGCATGTGACTGACTGCCAATGAAATAAAACTCAGAGCCCAGGGGTGCATCACAGAATGAGGAGATGATTCAGAAGCTGAGGGAATCATTTGTCACTGCAAACGTATAGCATTAGAGAGAGAAGGAAAGCTATTAGCTTCAGGAATAAGCCTTTTTCTCCCCTCATCTCTCCATGAGCTGTGGGGCTCACTGAAAGTGTTGCTGAAATGAGAGAAGGGTGGGCAGCACTTTTTCCTGTAGTACATACAGGACACTTATATTTCCATGTCCTTTGTCATCATATCTGTTAGTAATTTTTCTGGATCCATTTAACCAGACAGCCTTCTGACTTCAAAATCTATGGCAGAATTTTCAAATGGCCATTCTGAAACAGGAGCTCACTTAGACAAATCCTGTAAGACACGGTCACCTAAAAATAACCCTAGCAAATTATTGGGAGTAGGAAATGAAGCAGAGATAGCAAGTTCCCACTGACTTTTTAAAGAATCACTGTGAAGTGTTTACAAGGATACCACAGATGATTAAAATTAGTTTATTCTGCACAGCATTATCCACTGCTGACTCAAGATGGTGATACAAGCAGTGTTAAGCTGTGAGCTCACCAGGAAGCTCATTCCCTAAAATTACTCTCTTGTAGGGATAGACCCCTAGTTCACATTGGTGAACGGAAGATGGGGTATAAATAGCAACTTGTTACACCATCACTCAGAAGCTATGTGTCCTGCTGATCTCCAGTTTTGTTTCTTGCAGATGTAAGAGCCTCCTGCTCAGTCTGTTGTCTCTCAGTGTTCAAGGGTATGGAGAGAGAGAGAGAGAGAGAGAGAGAGAGAGAGAGAGAGAGAGAGAGACTATCATTCTTTCAGTTGTACAGTACAATGATTAGAAAACTTAGAAGTTAAGTGATGTGGTAAAGATCATACAGCAATTCCCTCACACTTAAAACTGAGTTTTTGTTCCTATAATCTTCAAAGACTTAAATGTACTGAACCTTTGCTGTTTCTCCTATGAGCCAGAGGACATGTCCTATCAACTGAGCTAAGTGTCACCAGTCAACTTGCTAGAAACATGTTCAGACATGTGTAGCGAGAGAAGAATATGTAGATACATATGCTGTACGAGTGGGTTCTTATGAAACAAAGGTTTTCTTTATATTTAATGGCAAGTTTATTTGAATTAAGCTGCATCCACACTCTACTCCAAGTTATCATTTTGGTTGCTTCACTTAAATAGTCAATTCAATAAAGAAAAAAAAGTCAGCATCTCCAGCATTTCTGTATCAGCCCATAGCCTGTGATGTTCTCTCTTGGTGGCCGATTTTGCATTTGTTTTCATAACTACTACAGATTTTCTATAGCATTCATTTCAAGACACAAACAGATATTCTTTAATGTGTGCCAGTCAGTCATTTTGGTTGTAAATAATTCTGTTTCTCTGTAGGTGCCCATTCTTTGCCGCTGACAACTTTCCCCCATCTGCTTAATCCATTTTCTGGCTTATTAAGTACTGGGATGATTTCTTCAGTGACAGAAGAAACTATGCATCACTGGTTTCCTATTTTTGAAGCCCTGGCATTTTTCTTGTTGGGACACTGCGTGCTTCATTTCTAATTAGGTTTTTCTTCTTACTCATATTTGGCTTTGCTTTATCAATACATTACGCAACCAGTAACTGGAAACAGAATCCCAGAGAGTGCCTCAAGCAAGCTTCCCAGTGACCTAGGGGAAAGAAGGAGTATTAAGGGGTGAGATGGAATTGGAGTTGCTGGCAAGATGATTATCAGGCTTGATGATGTAATGGGAAGTTGTTAATTTTTAAGCAACAGCTGGATTCTTTCTCAGGTTGATAGTAGTTCTGTTTTGCAGCCAGATGAGTCTTCAGTAGAAACAATCCCATTTTATCAGATAAAGTATTTCCTTTAAGATAGTCTTTATACCAAACATCTTTAGAGAAAGCCATCGGGCCTATTCTGTTGTACAACCAGGGTTAAGCAAAATGCTCCAGAAGTAGTGATTTTTTAAGGTCCTATTCAAATGCCTCCACTTCTATGAAGTTTTTCCAGATCACCCCAGCTGAGAGCTATCTCTCCATCCTCTCAACTCCCACAGCACCCTGGGATAATCCAAGTAAGGCAATTAGCATGGAGCCTGGTGTAAAGAAGTGTTCATTATTATTGTCCCTACCTCTTTGTAGTATGTATCACCTTCCTTCTTGTGTCTCCATTGTGAACACACCACTTATCTCCCCCATTAGCCTGTAAGCTACTGGAGGGTCTGATGCATCATTTTTTTTCCCCATCAGTGACTTGCTGTTTCTGGGTACTTGGTAAATGTGTATCGAATGAATAATAGATGATCGGCCTTCTCAGGTATCTTTGCATCCTCATGCCTGATATCAGTAGATACTCAGTAAGTGTGGGGATAATTAATGTTCAATGAATGGATATAGGTAAAAAATTAGATTGTTAACTCTTTTGAAAGGATGCCAAAGTTCACCCTTTGTGTTCATAGAGTTAACTTTCCTAATATCCTTAATGTTAATGTCAAAGACAGCCAAAAATAGCAGCTTTACTCCTGAACCCATTTTCTGTAAATGATGTGCTTATTATTTAAATAACTAGGTGACTAGTTTCACTGACACTTCCCACATGAGGAGTAAAATTATTATGGCTGATACTTTCTGGGCATTTGCTTTATGCCAGGCTCTGTTCTGTGCTCTTTCACACACTCACTTAATTCTTGCTGCAGTCTATTTTAAAGATGAGGCTCTGAAGTACAAGACGGTTAAATCCCTTGCTCCAGGCCAGGCTCTTGCTGAATACCACATTGTAGCCAGAGCTGGGCTGGAGTTGCAGACAAGTTATGGTTTGATGGCACCATTTCTCCATGTTTCATACAAAATACTAAAATAAACAAATACCAGAATTGGTCAAGCCAACATGCTACTGCATAGAGACTTAAATGTCTGTATCAAATATATTCAAATATACTGTCTCAAATATGTCTCCCTCAACTGTTCTCTGTATTGTAGGTGCCCCAGGTAGAGAAGGGGAGGAGGGCTGTAGAAGTTGTTACTTGGTTGTGAGCACAGAAAACAGTCACCTAGAGACTCAGACTCACTTCTGTTTGTAAATATCTGCTCTGCTGCATCAGTAGGCATCACCCTGCCTCATCTACTTCCACTTCCCGTTTCATACTCTGATCTCTTTCAGGTATTCCCTCAGCTTTGAATTTTCCGCTTTCCTACCCTCCTTCAACTGCGTAAGCCCTACAGGCCATTCGAGAAGCAACATAAATGGCCTCTGACCATCTCAGACAGGTGTTGGTATCCCTGCAACTCCTCGTGCGTCCTACCCCCAACAGCTCTTAGTGTTTTATTTTGTAATTTTTGGTTTAATTGTCTTTACTACTAGACTACAGTCTCAAGGGTAGGGACCCTGTCTTATTCATGGGTATCCTGAGAGCCCACTACAATTCTGGGCACATAGAAAGTGTCTCATAATGTTTGTTGAATGAATAAATGACAGTGTTCTTTGCATGTCCATTCCACTCTGAAAGTATTATATAAACCAACTACAGGGACTGTGCACCTCCACATTCAGATGCCCAAGATTTGGCAGGAAGGACACAGCCAAGAATAACTGGTTAGAGATGTTGTTTCTCTGTCCCTGTATATCAGAGAGAAAATATCCCACTGTTATCCAATATAAGACCATAAAAATGAACAGTCTTTGATGAGGAAAAAAAAGTAAGCCTGAAAAATGTGTGGCTGGAAAAAAAATGTTTCAAACAGCATTTTATTTTTCCCCTCTGTGGACTTGTATAAATTATGTGTGAGGCAAATATGTGATAGAGAGATGCAGTGGTAATTACTTGTTCTCAAATGTTTGGTTAACTATGCCTCTTCATCCCACATACAGTAGCTTAGTACAGAATTAAATTCTGCCCCTTAAGCAGAATTAGCATTTGGAATTTCTTATTTCT